ACTAGTGCTTGCCCATATATCTGAATCTTTGTACAACACTTTCTATCCATAGCTTTGCCTTGACATTGTTGTTATTTGGGTAGAGACATTCCACTGAGTTGTTTGTAACTCTTGAGGTTTTTCTTGTCCTCTGTTCCTGAACAGAATCTGTGGTACGGGTTGGTGGATTTCGCTCGCTCGAGCGCATTCACCTACATCCAGCTTTGCCTTTACTGTGATATGTGACCATTTGTATGTGATTTGCATTGATGCGCATAACTCAACTAAAGTATGATTTTAAATAATGAAAGTTTTGCAACGTGTGGGAAGGTGTTGAATATTGTCAAAGAACTTGTTCTTCTAGTTTCCCAGATCATGGACTCATTTCTTCATATTTATTGACTCAGAAGGATGGGCACGGTACTTTGATTTGATACCAGCTCAAAAATAGTAGCAGGGGTGCTACACAGTGAGAAATTACAAAAAGCGTAGTCAAACGGCCAAATCGTACCAACAACCAGTTTAATAAATACGGCTGCACGCAGATATTCATATGTTCATGCAGCAACGCTTCATATCATTTGTATTAGGTTGGCAAAAAAAATACACATTCACATTTTTTCTGTCACATTTTTTCAAATTAGACTTTCTTTTTACAGAGAGGCGTACAAGATCAAAATTATACAGCAATGTTATTGAGAGATCCTTGCCAGTTTTTGGACAGTTCGTGGATGCCATCGCTTAACAATGCACGCCGGCGCGACGCAAAGTTGGACATCATCTCAACTTTGACTTGGGCTCAAGTCGTGGAGGTTTTCTCGGCTGTATAACGGTTGAATACGGGAGGCGACTAGCAGTCAGAAAGAGCAATGTCTGGACTACACCGGTGCAAGGGGAGAGCCATCCAGCTCTATTGCATGAAGTACGGCTCGAACTTTTTTTGACGGAGTATGCTGCGCCAGCTACGGTGTATAGGGCTGACGACTGTCTTTATGCCGATTGGATTTTGCCCTCTGCCTTGACGATCGCTTCAGGATCTCGTAGCCTGCCTTGCTTACGGTGACTGACAGAGGAGGCAGCTTCTTCATCCAGTAGTTTCCCGACCCACCGCTATCTAGAGCTGAGTTTACAGGTACTCCCGAACCTCACTTCGTCATTCGAACCGTAGGCTCCCGCTCTGAAGAGCTAGCGTCGTGGAAGATTGTCTGATGACTGTAGACATTGTCCTTGTGCAGCTCCATTATTTCGGCGTCGACAGCTGCCATGCTGCTCTTGGAGGTCGGGCTTAGCCATTGAAATTAGTTTAAATAAGCGCTTGAAGGGGTCGGGGCTGAAGTGTTAGCGGCATAACACTTATTGTCCATAATGCAGTAATAAGATAAGCAGGAACGAGGTCAGGTGATTACTACATAGAAAAGATCAATCCCTTAATTACAAATGGCTTACATTACCGGTTAGCCCTCTTCAGGTAATAGGCGAATACTTGGGTTCAAAAAAGTATGACAGAACTTTCCTGCCAACTAATACTTCTCAAATGAAACGGTTAGAGTTACCAGGGATCGAGCGGGCATGTGGACTGTCGGCCATTTCGTGGGCCGCAGTCATGCACGCTGGGCGCTCAGGCGTCGGCATATTGCTGCACATTGCTGTTAGCCGCTGTAATGGCGCCCTTTCTTAAAGGCGCCACGCAACCCTCGCTCTGGATCACAATATTCTTCCTTGCTAGGCATATTTACCCCATACGTTTTACGGATTTAGCGTGCCACTTGCATTTAACCATGGTTGGGTAGTCATGCCTGCATTCAGGATACACCGCTGCTGGAGACTTCTCCAACGAAGGGGGGATCCGACGGTTGCACTTAACCTTTGAATGAACCTTTAAACGGAGAGTTATTCAGCAGCGGAAACTACAAAGGTGTTAGCATTATTAACATAAGATACGGGGATTATGGGAAGCGGAACTGTAAGGAAACAGTGTAACCTAGCCAGATATGTGAAAGCCAGTACAAAATATATCGCCTATCTCATAATCTCAAGAACACCTTATCTGTTTTGGATAATTTCCTTGGCTCTCATTTTATTCGTCTAATCGAGAAGTGCGTATGCACGACTATCTGTAAGTAAGCGTTAATAATACTTCGAGGCGGCAACGCTTGGTTGGGTAGCGCGTTCCGATACGCAAGCGTTCCACTGCGTCTAATTCGATCGCGCACATCTGCTGAAATTGAATGGGACGCTGCTTCTTTATAGACTCGGTTGGACGAGCGTAACGCATATTGAAGACAGATCAGTCAAGTGTTCGGGTGTATTTATTCCTAGCTTTTGACAACTTTGACATGGCGCACGTAAATTTCGTGCCCTACCTGAGTGTCTACCGGGGTGATACAATGATCGAGAGCGAATCAACAGAGTAGCAGAAGAGGGATGTCTTTCTGGATTGAATCTAGAACTCGTTCCCAACTTAGGATCTACCGAGTAAGGGATCCCGAAGAAGTGATGCGATTCTTTACTTTTGACCAGGTGCCGCACTGGCCTCGCTCACCAAGAGTTCATGTGCCTAATAAGTTCCATAGATTTCACACCATAGTGTATATCGTAATTTCGAAAGCTACGCCAGGACAAACGCTCAATATGCTGTAATTTTATGCAAATCTTGGATATTGAAAGCTCGAAATTGCAAAAGAACCGAGCTGTTCACAAAAAAAAAGAATATTCAGCGCATCCAAACTAGACGCGGGATGTTATTGGGATGTTATTTTGCGAGTGGCTCGTATTGGCACAGCTCCGCCATGCAGCAGTCAGGTACATTTAATTACATAAACTGCCCTCTACCTACTGAGCGTCAGATCAGCGGCTCAGTTCTTACGATAGGGGGGTCCCGACTGTCGGAGCTCTGGTCGCGGGCTTACACCGCTGCTGCTTGTAGGAGTGGTGAAAATATGGCATCGCATCTTCACTGGCTGTGTATCGGTTTGTGAGCCTGCACATATGTATGTCTGTCTGCCCGTCCACGAAAAAACCTGGGGCATGACATGAGAACTGATAGAAGAAAATCAGTGCAGGAAAAATAAAGACAATAAACTGATGCTTGCTGAAATCAATATGCAGGTGTACTAGGACTGTAATAGGCACTTTACCTTAAGAACCTAATCATGAGAGGCAGTGGGTAGATTCACTGCCAGTTCGCGGGATGTGGGGTTATGTAGTGCTCGTTAAACAAGAAAACACCAGGACAGTGTTGCCTGAAAACTAAGCAGTCCTGTACTCTTAACAGGATCTAAAAGTGTTCAACGTATGCATGTGAGCTCAATAAAGGCTAAGCATAACAACGGAAGTTCGTGTTCTAGCTGTGCATCTATTTCAAAATGCAATGCCGTCTACACTTCGTAGGTCGCAATACTCTGCATAGATCTTGCAGCTATACCGAAAGCCCTTGCAGCTCTCTTTTGAGTGCAAGCCTTTTGTCACATGCTCAGAAGACTTGGCTTTAGTTTCCTATAAGCAACTTGTAACGCCATGGCCGAATCAGCTGCGATCGGATCCGTTGGAAAGTGATGGTATGGGCAAGCGGTTGGAAGCTGAAACAAGCAGTTGCATCATCAAGTGAGCAAATCTACAAAATGAGACTCCATGGTCAGAAGACGAACCACAGCTTCGGACGGCCAAGCCACAGTAGCGATTGAATTTGCATCCTCGGTTTGCCGTCTTAATTTCCACGCTTGCTAGTTTGCAAAAGTCATGAGCGTAGCCCCTGTCGATAGAGTTGATTCTTTGATCTTCTCGTCTTAAAGAGCCTGTTAAAGAAGACTATGTTATGTGCATTCAGAGCACTTCCGTAGATTACGGAATCCAGTAGTTTGCAGTGAGCTCTAGTTGCTTTCGGGCAATCTGCTTAGACACATCTTCCAGCTCCTTCACCATAGCAGACTTGGAGGGTTTCAGATGACGGGTCTGAACAAAGCACATAGCGCATAATTGGATGGTTGCTAGAACGCTAGAGACGGGGACGCGACTATAAACGGGTATCGACCACCGTCGCTCCCCAGCTCTCGGGATCCTTTTGGGAGAGCACGCAAGAACGAAAGCGAACCAGATAGTGTAACAGAATATCTAGGAGTCACAAAGGAAGGTTTGCAGTGTGGTTGCCAAAGAACAACATTGCTTCCTCATAATGCGTGATCACCCGAACTGGTACTCTCCTCATTTCTACTCTCCCAAACCCATGCGCACTCAGTCTGATATTCTTCTTTTTTCCTTTACTCTCGTAGCTGATATTCTCTTTTTTCCTTTACTCTCGTAGAACGCGCTGATGGACACCAGTTTATAATTACGTTCCAACCGTTCGGTTCTGAGGAGCGAAGTGAGCCTGAAAAAACGGATAGCGAAAGCCAACCGCGGAATCTGCACGCTGGTATTTACTTCATTAGATCGTTCAGATTCACAAAAGATGCGCTAATACACCAGCAATTCGTAAACGAAAGCGAGCATCAGAATCTAAAAAAAACATGCTTCAACAAAGGTGACTATTCTCATGCGCACCGAACCCCCGTGCATAACTATGAGACACCACAATAAAATTTTGATCGCGGCACTGGAAGCAAACGCTCAAAAGTTCAGTTACGCCGACGTTCTCTCATTCAATCAAAACCTTGGATCAGTCACAGCTCGGATACAGTAGCCTCAGAGAACGTCCTGTCCCTTTTCTCCAATCGCGCGCTTCCCGAGGAGACAGCAGACTCACTCTAAAGCCTATTCGCATGATAATCACTCGCTCTCGTTTTGTATTCACCGGTCTGTTTGTATACAAAGAATGCGTTGATGTTGTGAAGTGTCAAATGTCAGATGTCAACTCAGCGAAGACTTATCACAGGCATAACGACGAGAGGTTTGGGCGCGGAGAACCTCTGTATACGGTGCAAATGATTTCAACGACGGCTTGTCGAAAAACCACATCCCCCTCTCTTCGCAAACGGAAACATTTGAATGCAAATATTTAATTCCACTGTACAAAATACTGGGCACTATACTCTCATGAATTGATTTTGTATTCCAATATGAATTGCTGTTGGCCCGGCTCTGTTGAACATGATAATGGGGACACGATTTGAGGCCGAAACGAGCACTGCGTCGCGATAGGTTGGTGAGCAGAATCTACAAAATAGAACTAGTGAGTAGGAGGCAAACCATAGTTTCGACCGCTAATCTACCGGTATCCAGTTCGAGTCTGATCCTCAGTGGTCTTGATTTCCACGCCTCCTAGAATGCAGCCATCATGAGCGTAGCCATGTGAAATAGATTTGACCGTAATTTCAATCTTCTTTCCTTCGTCAGCCTGAAAGTCTAGTTTCAACTTATGAACGTGTTGCACTGCGTTTCATCGCATACCTCAATCCAGTAGTTGCAGAACATGAACTCATCCCTTACACCAGCACCAAACCAAGTCTTTTTTGACCTTGAGGGATCTGCCTTGGGGCTCTGCTCACCTTCAATGTATCTCCGCATCAGACGGGCTATAAAATGCGGCGATGCTGCTGATCCTTACTGGGTAAACCGGCATGAGGGAATGTTTTAGCTTTGACCACTCTCCTAACTCACTCGCTTGTCGCAAAGTGCGCCACCATAGCCACTTGGACAAATACATTCGGAGCAGTTTCGTGGATGAGGGAATCCTCCATTTTGGCACTTCGCTGAGGTGCATTTGGGCACTTTGCTGAACAGAAACGCTGTCCAGCCCCCTTCACATGTCAGACTTAACATGGTCCCCTTACCTTTGCAATTGTAGTGATCGTTAATCATAGACTTATCAATGAACGAAATGATCTGCGAACCCATCGACTCCTGGTACCTTGTATCATTGGCTACCATTGTGGGTTTCTTGTTGTGAGAAGCGCTGAATCATCGGAATGTATTGTGTCACCCTAGTTCACAGAATGCTGCAATTATATTCACCTGGCTGCTCCGTAATGCATAATGCTACCATAATCATAGGTGAATCCATAGTTGGTAGTGGTTTCATTTGTCTCTTTCACGTATTGATCCACGAAACCTTCCTAGAAGATGGTTGGATTTTCTTGCGGTCTTATTGAAGAGTGTGCATACGTGACTCACCACAACATTATCAAGAACGACTGTAATAAATTCATCACGATCGTAACGTGACATGGTGTGGAAGAGCCCAAGCGCGTGACCGAGTTCATGTGTAGCGATTCCAACCTTAATTTTGTGCTACGGTCGGCGGAGAACAAGAAAGTTACATCAGTTCCACAGTCCTGTCGAGTGTCAACTTTACACACTTGTCCACATCTTACCTGATCACAGCCGTCACCAAGTGAGAGAGGTTGCTCACCACCGACTCGTCCTACATATGACCAGCAGCCATCCTCTTGATTAACACAATGCTGTTTTCAGCTGAAATGGCATCTGATGGTCGGTCATTAGCGATGGATTGTTTTGCGGTGAGCGAACCTTTTTTGTCTTTATCTTCGGTGAAATTGAGGCAGGTTGCTTCTTCCCATTGTTTCGCACCCATTTGGAATATTCGTTTTGTAATGAAGTCTAGAGTAGTTTCGATTTGCAAAGATTGTGAACTGACCGTATACACCTGAGTGCTCGGAAAACTGAATACTCCAAAACTGACCTACACCATCGTCGAAGCGGTAGAAGACTCCTTGCTGCCACGTGGTGTTAGGATATGCTTGATCCTTGAACGCTTGTCTTTTGGATCGACCGGACGTTCCTTCGACGCTTCCATTACTTCTTCTTGTTGCCTCCTGGACATTGCTGATTCAAAGAATGTTGTGTGTCTTATAGAACGAGCTGATCAACTGACTTTGTCAGTAGGATATCACTCTGGAAAAGAACTTTGCCGACGTTCTTTTCTGAATTGATTTCGAATATCGTGTCTTTCAAGTCTTCAACGGTATCATCTCGTCTCTCCTCAATTTCCTAAAATAATTGCGCTATCACTGGATAATGACTCCACTGATTTCATTTGTGCACTTACCTTGAGCTTGCGATCAATTTCTGCTTTCTTTTCATTCGATAGTTGAAGCTTTTTCATCATCTTACTTCTCAAGCTCAGTCAATTTGCTGCCAAGTGAAAGAATGCCAGTCTTTTCGAAGACCTGAAAAATGCCGTGGTACATATCAATTGCAATTTTTGGATGTGCAAAGAAGCCATCAACCTATACCTTTTTAAACTTCGAGAGTGTCGCGGCTTTAATCTTTTCGCCAAAATTTCCTCCTCTGAAGAAATCCTTGACTCTGCCAAGGTCCAACAAACCTGCTTGGGTCGCCACAGCTAAGAAGAGCAGAAGCAGAATGAGCCTCATCCCTAAATTTCCAGATGAAATTTCATCCTCTGAAAAGGTTTGAAAAGCGCTTAGGAATGTAAGTTCTCAGGAGGGGGTCCATTGTGAAGAGCATTGCTCGATGAGGATAGAGCCACCCTTCAGTTTTATACACCAACACGCTATGCTGGCCGAGTTTGAACAACTGTCCTGAACCGACCCTATGTACAGGAGCAAGACTCTGCTGTGTGACTGCTTGACACTGATTTACACACCTGCCTCCCTCTATCTGCTTCCTCTTCATTCTCTTTCTCCTCTCCAACTTTGTCAAGAAAGATACAATTCGCGAGGAACCACCATTTGGACTGCTAGAATGGATCTTCCCCTTGAGAGAGACGAACGGTACTGTGTGGGTTGAAATCATAGAGGACCTGAAGACTTGAAAGACACGATATTCGAAATCAATTCAGAAAAGAACGTCGGCAAAGTTCTTTTCCAGAGTGATATCCTGCTGACAAAGTCAGTGATCAGCTCGTTCTATAAACATACAACACTCTTTGAAGTAGAAACGTCCAGGAGGACAACAAGAAGAAGTAATGGAAAGCGTCGAAGGAACGTCCGGTCGAGCCAAAAGACAAGCGTTCAAGGATCAAGCATATCCTAACACCACGTGGCAGCAAGGAGTCTTTTACCGCTTCGACGATGGTGTAGGTCAGTTTTGGAGTATTACTCAGGTGTATACGGTCAGTTCACAATCTTTGCAAATCGAAACTACTCTAGACTTCATTACAAAGCGAATATTCGAAAAGGGGTGCGAAACAATGGGAAGAAGCAACATGCCTCAATTTCACCGAAGATAAGGACAAAAAAGGTTCACTCACCGCAAAACAACCGA